GGGGGGGGGGGGGGGGTGCCACGGGCAGTCCCTGCAAGCCCCAGCCCCCACAGGTATCCCCCATAGGGGACACCCCACACTATCCCCATGGATAGGTCAGGAGGGTGCCCCACAGCGGGGCAGGCTGCCCGGCTGCGGGGGGCCTGGGAGCCGGGGGGCATCTCGCTCCCCCCCATCCTGTGCATCCCCCCGGGGCAGGGCCCCTGCAAAGTGCCTCTGGCTCCCGGCCCTCGCGGGGCTGTGCCCCCTCCTCTCTTGTCCCAGCGTCGCGCACAAAGGTTACCGTAAACACGAGGGTTAACGAACGCCACGGGGGGTGGGGGGGATGGGGGGACGACAAAGGGGGGGTTAACCGGCAAGGAGGTGGGGGGGTCTCGGGGACTGGCGCTGAGAGCCCCCCGTGGTCCGGTGTGGCCCGGAGCCAGGCTCCGCCAGCGGAAGGTGCGAAAGTGTCACCGCGTGGGAAGGGTTAGAGGGGGTGCAGGGACAGCGGGGGGGTCACAGTCTGGAGTCCTGGCTGTGGGCTGAGCCGTTGCTGCCCTGCACGGGGGAGGCAGCTGCCGCCTCGCTCCGGGCCTTCTCCGGCTGCAGGGGCTGCGCCTCCAGGTTGGACTCGGTGGAGGGGCTGAATGCCGGGGCGTAGCGCCCGCTGCGGTGCTCTGCCAGCGCCGGGCCCCAGTCCTTGCTTGCCTTGGTAGCATTTTTCAAGCGCTGGAGAGAGAGGGAGAGGATGGGGACACGGGTCAGCGCCCACCATGCTCCAGCCTCCCCCAGCGTGCCAGCAGCTCCCAGGGGTGGCTGGAGATGGGGTGCCCCCATGGGTGCTGCCTGCACACAGCTGCTGCGGGGTGCTGCCAGCTCCAGGGGGTTGGGGGACAGCCTTGCAGGCAGCCCCAGGTGAGACTTGGAGAAGGGGGTCTAGCCCCCGGCCACCCACCTCCAGCAGCGTGTCCCCCTCGGAGCGGCACACTTTGTAGATGGCGTAGATGGGGATGCAGATCACGGAGGAGAGCGCCATGAGGAAGCCGATGCTGATGGCCCAGGTGGGGTAGACGTAGTCATTGTAGGAGATGGGCCGGTACTGGATCACTGTGAAGACCAGGATGAACTGGGGAGGAACAGGCAGGATCAGCCAGTGGAGAGCAGCCAACCTGCTCTGCAACCCCCCAACTGCCCTGCTTTGCCCCCTCCCTGCTGCCTCCCTGCAGCCCAGCACCCCCCTCCCAAGGGTGGGCAAGTGGGGGTCCCAGGTGGGCCCTCTCCTCCTATGGCCCCGTGCCCCATGGTCGTGATGCTCACAAAGATGATGGCGGGTGAGATGAAGCGCCAGCAGATCTGGAAGAAGAGTGGGGGTGGGAAGCCCAGCATCATCTCAATGTCCTTGAAGTAGTTGCGGTGCCCTGTGGGGACAAGCAGCCGTCAGCCCTGGAATGGTGGGCTGGGGCCCTTGTGGGACCCCAAGCTCCCTGCCCAGCACCAGCTCCAGACCCAGGGTGATGGTACCCACCAGGCCCCTTTGGTCATGGGCTGCCCTTATTGGCCATAGGCCTTGCAATCCTCAGCCAGTTAGCACACAGCAAAACGCTGATTGGCCAGAAGTTAGCACACCCCCTTCCCCACTGGTTGGCTGGGACAGCCCTGCCAGCTGATTGGCCACAGGTGGTTGCACCTACCGTAGATGTACATGATGGTCACACACATGATGCAGGAGATGATGACCAGGGAGAAGCTAGCAGCGTAGTTGTCCATCAGCAGGAGCCAGTAGATGCCCGCCTGCAAGAGGGACCCGTTGTCATGGCTGCCCCAGAAATACCACCACCATCAGCAGGCCACCGGCACAGCCATGCTGCCAGCGCCAGCGTGGCAACGCACAGCCTGGATACCACAACCACAGTCATGGCAACACCTCATGCCATCACCAATGTTGCCATGGTGATGCTTAGTCTGGATACCATCGCCAGTGTTGGCATAGAAACATCAGGCCCTGAGTGTCACCACCACCATCAGGGTGGTGATGGCAACTATGTGGACATGGCTGATGGTGTCAGCACAGTAAGGTCACCATGGCAATGGCACCCCATCACCATACTGGCAAATGGCACCGAGGTCAC